ATAAATTTGCAACTACTGAAACCCCCTTATGCAACATCGTTTATAACCCCGACCTGTCATGTTCCGTTACTAGAATAATGCCGGGGAAAGAAAATTTTAATTTTCCTTCTCTCGCCGCTGAAATATTTATTACTCTTACGTCAAACGAATTACGAATTTCGTGCGAGTCCTGCTCGATCCGAAACGACTGTTTCGTTTCATAAATTTCAAATCGATTCATTTGCTTGAATTTTTCATGAACTATTTATTTTGATAAAAACAGTACCTGCTTAAAAACTACACATATATTGTATTCCCTGGTTCCAAATTTTTGAATAATGGTGCAGTAGCAATCTGACACTGTCAGTTATTTTGGAACCAAGGTATAGATGATTTAAATGCGTTTGAATTAGAGATGGTATATCGTATATGCGATGCAACTATTCCTTTTTCATAACTATATTGTACATTTTGTACGGTTTCACCGTAAAGCAGCCTTAATTTTATTTCCACGGTCCGTAATTCCGGTAGATTAAATCGTCCACGTCAAATATTTTATGGGCGTTCAATACGCGAACGCGTAATTTAGTGCCGACAAACGCAAATCGTTGGTAATTTACGACTGATTTATTTATCGTTTTCATACGTTTCCCCCCCTCCTTTTCGAAACGGAGATTATTTATCGAAATATCACGTACTATGCGGCCTTTCAAGGACTCTAATGGGGTCGATAAAATTCGATTTAATCGCAAAAAAAAATCGTGTAATTGGTTTACACTCCGGATAATAAAACGCCAATTGAGTACTTACGATGCTATTTTAAATAAGTCGAAATTTACGGGGTGGATAATTAACGACAGCCGATAAAATTGCGGAACAAATCAATTCGAATTTCGGGCGAATAAATTTTTTTCAACCGGCCGTGTGATTTGATAGCGATAGAAACGATTGTTTCTAATTTAAGTCGCAATTAAAGCCGTTGTGTAAAATTAATACGAAAACACGGTGGAAACAAAATTTAAAAAAAAAAAAATCAACGCCGAAACGGGCGAAGAACTAACTGGGCATTTTCCGTCTCTCCGCCATGCACCAGTTTACATATGAATGGATTAATTAAAACCGCGTGTTTCCAGTCGAATTACCGGGATTTTTTAACGCGCCTGAAATCCAACCTAGTAATAGCACGACAAATAATAAACGCCTATTCCTATTGTAATCTGCATAAAACTATCTTCTCGTATAACCGCCAGTTATCCTACCGACCGCGCCAATTACTCCTACACATCGCCCCAATCGAATTTCCAATTGTCTATAAAATATTTATAGAGAAAACACTCGCGGGGAGTTTGTGGTTTTTCGGATGGTAAGCTCGATTTGAAGTGGAGCAAACGAAGCGCATTCGCCGCCCCCGCCGCCCGGCTTTCTATCGGGTTACTCTTATTAAATAAAAGATCGTGCCGATGTCGTTCCCGCGAAAATACAGGGTGTTTGTAAATTACATGCACATATTAAAACTGGTTAAACTATATGCTTAATAAAAACTATTGTATAAATTATTTTTTCAAAATAGCGTATAATTACTGAGTAATTAATTTTTGAAAATTGTTGCTAAATAAGATACACGCCTCTGAAATGTTGAGAGGGTCAGTTACAAATTTAAAACGATCAGCTGTGGATCGGCGGATTTCTTTCAACGTTGCCATGTTTTATTTGTTAATTTGAAAAATAAGACATTTTTAAAGAATGTATTTCATTTGATTTAAAAGATTAGAATTGCTTTAGATACTAATAATCATACTAGTAATCGGTTAATATTTAAAAATTGAAGTATTTTTCATTTACTTCAGATGCAATAATCAATAATTCAATAATTGTTGTAATTTTAAACAAATCGACTCGCGCGATACGATCCGTAAAGTTCACCGTAAAGTTGTAATATGGACAAAATAATAATTAATAAATGAAAAATCATATCTTATAGGAATTTATTTATTACTTACTACTTATTAGAAGCACATCAATTAATTAATTCATTTTGATCAAACGCGTCTGCCATTGCATTGCTCCAAGAATCAGAACAATAAACTAAGAACAAACTAAACTTGAAGAATATTAAGAAGTTAAACACTATCAAACAAATCACTAAAAAGTATTATCTATTTGACCACGAGGTTAACAACCCTACAAAACAATACGCACTAGAAAAAAATCGGCTAGATTTTTCGAAGGACGGCAGGCGGAGGGAGAAATTTGCACGTCACATCGCATAAATTATCTTTTACAAGGGTAATAAAGCGATTTCTTTAGTTACTACACAAAGATAGAGACGCAACCAGTTCGTGCGTTGATTTGCCATTGCCAATTTTAAAAAATACATAAAAATTTGTAAATTTGTTAAGTGTGAACTTTTATCAAGTTTAAGTTTTTGTGTTTGTTAGTTTTTGGTTTTTTACGCAGAAGAGCAGAAGCTTGTATTGAAATTAATGGTGGGACACTTTGAACAATAATTGTTCAACAATTAATCACAACAATTATTGTTATGATACTTTGTAAGGATACCTAGATAATCATGAAGATTTTGGGTAAGTTTAATTTATTTAAGGAATAGGGTTCCTTAGTTTTTAATGTATTCAATGTTTCCGAAATTCATGAGCTATTTTCAAATATTTTGCAAAACATTCTTTGACGAAATTCAACCATTTTTAAAATGGTTAGTTTTAGTATACCTAGTTGGTTTGACGATATTACGGAAAAATTATCACATTATTTCGTTTTATAAACATTTTACAACACTGTTCGTTCAACGCGCTCCCATCCGCATATGCAGAATACGTGTGGACAATACGACGTAGAGTTTGGGGCGGATAAATGTTAAATTGCCCCAAATTTAAACATTTGAATAAAAAAAAAACAATAACGCCAAATCACTTTTAGAGGTACTCCTGACATGTGGTTGAAATATGTGCATGCAATTTACAAACACCCTGTATATCCAGAACAATGAGCTCGGCGGTTATGTCAACTACAAGGAAATTGATTTCGGTTTGTTCCTACTTCTAATTTTGTATGTGTAATATTAGACGCACAGTTGATACCAAGAGTTTGGTTAGTATGGACACCTCCGAAAAATCGATAAAACTAGAAAAAAAATTGGAAAAAATATATGGCAGTATATAACTCCTGAAGATAGAAAGCATGGTAGACCATCTAGGTCTCAGAAATATGTAGAAGAGGCTATGGAGGCTAGAAGGATATTAAAGTCTATTATCTTCATTTTATACTCACCAAATAATTTACTCCAAAATTCATGAAAAGTACCAAATTTTTATTAACTACTTAGTGAAATACCAGCTTGTTTCGGAGCGGTATAGCCGAACAAATTCATCCGAAATCAAACCAAAAACAAAATTCTCAGCTTCGCAGATGATAGCACTCTCATAGCATCCACTACAAACAAGAGACCTGTCAGTGCATCTAAATCAAGTCGCCAAAGGCTCTTGCAAGCTGAGTCCATCAACAACGACCTTCAAATTATTTTGAAGTGGGGATCCGATAATCTGGTTGAATTCAACGCCTCCAAGACCCAGGCAACCATGTTTACAAGAAAGACGTCCTCCGTCATACCCCAACTAGCATTGAATAACCAAACAATTAAAACAACTAATAAATTACATCTTTTAGGGGTCAGCATTAATTCAAATGCAACCTGGCATGAACATGTTTCCACCATAGCTAAATCAGCCGCCCAGAAGCTTAGTTACTTATTTCGTGCCAGAAAAATGTTCACACCAAAGCAGCTTCTGTTACTCTATAAGGCTCAAGTTCGTCTAGCATTGGAATATTGCTCTCATGCTTGGAGTTCTGCTCCTAAGCACTCCTTGCACCTACTAGACTCCATTCAAAAAAGAGCAGTGCGCCTGGTTGATGACCCCTCATTAACCTCTAACCTTCATACACTAGACCATCGTAGAAGGGTTAGCGACTTAAGTCTCTTTTACAGATATTACCACGGAAGGTGTTCTGCAGCCATTGCTTCCATTATTCCACCTGGTGCTCACTTTGGACGTTCTACAAGGCTAGCGGAGAGCACACACCAGTTTGCCGTACACATTTCAACAGCTAGGACCTCTATGTATCAGAAATCTTTTCTGTACAGAACCGCGACACTATGGAACACACTACCATCAGAAGTGTTCCCAGTTGGTTACGACCTTCAGAGGTTTAAGACCAACATTAACAATTACCTACTAAAAACGCCTCGGGGCGCCTGGACAGGCGTTATAAGCTTCGTCTTTTCCCGAGTCGTGTGCATATAAAAAAAAAAAAAAAAAAAAAAAAAAAAAAAAAAAAAAAAAAAAAAAAAAAAAAAAAGAATGCCGAAGCAGTTAGCCTAATGACCTCTTGTGCGGGTCTCCGGCAAGGTGAGAGTAATCACTGCGGGGATTCCCCCGACTTAACGGCTACAACATCGATTACACCGGTTGCTTCTGGTCGGTGTAGCTCGATCCGGGATCGAGAGATCCGGGTCGGGATGCCTCCGGATTGACAAGAAGTTGTACGGAGAAACGGTAAAGGAAACGTGCGAACTGAATTAAATATGAACCAGATAGACCGGCGTTGAATTAGTAAACAAATCTTGTATCTATCTTAACATCGCACCCCCGAAACTCCATCCGGAATTCCGATGTGTATAAGTAAAGAGGATAAAGTGTGTTATCCCGCTGACTGCGCCAATTACGTTTATTTACTTATTCGAATGTATAGGGCGATTGTTTTTGTGTGAATTCCGGTAGTTTCAATAAGGTAAAAAGATAGTAGGAAAATTGGAGCGATTTTCCGGCGAATGCAAGGGTTCAGATCAGATGCTGCAAAATAATGATATGCCCCCGCGCTGCTCGCGCCCCTTTCGGTCTCCGACTGGCACCCCCTCCAGCAGGGCGCATCGTCGCAGATACGCCAGGAGGATTTCTCTCTTCTCTGGCGTGTTTTCCCAGTCCGGATTTTCCGTTTACTGCCGGTAAAACGGTGTAATTTTGCGGGAAAATTCCGACGATACGCGGCTTGTTCGACGACGAGGAGATTTTTTTCTAATGAACTTTGCCGCGTTATTTTAGCTGTACGTTTTTCGAAATTCGATATTTGTGCGATGTAAATGTATTGAACTTGCGGTTGTAGTGCTTATTTAAGACCTCTTTAGACATTCATGGTTGATTATATTGAGTTTCTGGATCATTTAGGTAAGTTACAACTCATATTTAGCATCATTAGTAATGGAGAAAAATTAAATACAATATTTATGCATAAACTTCAACAAATATCTTTATTATTATACTGCATACATTATGTTATTTAACAAAACTTCATTAAAAAACTATGTAGGTCTGAAAAATTAAAGGGTTATTTTAATTAAATAGAATATAAAATTGGATTAATTTTTACTCACATCTGGGTTCTGTGCGTAATTGCATTTCGTCAACTCCCAAATTCTTTCCACAAAATCGTCAACTGCGAAATTTATAAATTTAATTAACATTATTCGCCGTGAAAATTTCTTTAAATAATTAAAAAATTTACCCTTCTTGGAAGCCTGTTCTCCGCATTTTACGTAGGAAGCTCCGCCGTAGGCGGCGTTAGGAATGGAAGGAGGTATATAATATTTCAGTTTTTCCTTGATTATATTGAAATCCGTATCGATCTAACATAAAAATTTGTTAAAAACTTCCTATTGAAATTGCAATTTAATTTACTTACCGCTCCCGACAACATCCATAAGCAAGTAAGGTATTTCTAAAAAGAAGCATAATAAATAAAAATATTTAGATGATAATAAATAGTTGCAATATTACTTTAGCTTGTTTGTCATCATCCTTGAAAACTCCATTAATAAGTTCGGTGATTTGGTCTTCAGTAATGTCTGTTAAGATGATGCATTTCTTGTGCCATATTACAGAATCTCTGGCTAGATTTTCGCCGAAATCCTTATTGGGAAAATTTCGTTAAAAAAATAAAAATATAATTTTTAGAACATTACTTACCTTCTTAGCGAGTGCGCAGTAAGCCGATTGAAAAATCGAGCTTAAAACAATAGCTGATAATAGGATTAGTTTCATGATGAACAAACACTTCACTAGTAGAACAGATTTGTAAAAATGGTATTTGCTAAATTTCGGGTCGTTTTATAGTTAACAAAGTTAATAGAAAAAACATCTCATTGCATCAAAAAAATCTTGAATATTCATTAAATTAACACTTATTGCGTGTCTTAGAGGTAAATTAATTAATTATAATCGTACGTTTATGAGCATGAGCATTCCTTTTTTATATAAATCAAAAATTTACATGCATGTAATTAAAATGTTTTGTTTGTAATAAGTATAGAAGTAACCCAGAAAAAGATAATCACAAATTATTATCGTTTTGACGTCCACCTATATAAAATTAATTACAAATATTTAAAAATTATGGTATACTTATGGACATTATAATATTTCGAAGACATCTATTATTATCTATTATTAAAAGAAAGTTTTTCGACTTTCATAGAAACTGTATTTGCGAATTTACCAATAATTTGTATAGGAAATAATTTATTAAGGATACACGTAGACGAAAACAAAGCAATAACTTTATTTTGTGAAACACAAGGTAATTTTAATCATTACCAATATTTTTTTGTGTGTGAAAGAGACGTATTAAAATTATATAAAAAATCCTTATCAAAACATCACGAATTTCTGAAAATATATTATACTTGTATTAAAATAATTAGTAAAAAAATCGAATTAATTACCTCAGAGGAGATGAAATAGTCGCATTGTATCATCACCCATATTTTGTCCACTAATGTAACCTTTTTACCTGTAATGAATAAACAAATAAGTGCATCATTTATAATTTATTTTGAAATATAAATGTATAATTAAGGAACATTTACCTAGACTTTTCGACATTTTGTGGCAATGTTTATACATATCAGCCACTCTATCGTCCACCACAGAAGTAACGTATTGGTCGAATTTCGCCTGATTTAACTCAAAATTCCTGTCGATCTACCATAAAAATAAAAACAATAATAATAAATACAAATATATAATCAAAAAAAATCATACCATTCCGGATCTTAACCAAAAACAAGCCACATATTCCTACAAAAAAAAATCAATTCGAAACTCCTTCTGTCGCAAACAGTTATTTTACCTTAATTGCGGTTTCTTTTCTGAACGATCCGTTTTTAATCTCCGATATCAAGTTTTCCGCGACGCCCGAGAGGGACACGCATCGATTCCGCACGGCCAAAATTTCATCCCTCGTCTCGCTATTGTAATCCTCAAAAAAAAACACCCTTAAATATCCAATCAAACGAATCGAAAATTTACTTACATCCACAGTAATCGCGCAATAGGCGAATTGCACGAAGCACGCCAAAAACACCAGCCTCAAATTTGCCATTTTGTCAATTAACACCACTCGCAGGAGAGTCTTCGATTAACAACAAGCATTCTGATAACCCTTATACTAATATAGAGAGACGGTGATAATGAAATTCGATTATCAAAACGGACGTTCGTTCGTTAGTAATTAGCCAATTTTACTAATCACTGCCGATTTTTTTAATTAGAAACAAATCTCACCCGGAAAGAAGTTAAAGTACCCGTTAGATTATTTATCTTTTACTATAATACAATAATAACTCCTCTTAGGTACGATATTTAAAGCGATATTTAAAGCGATATTAATAGGTACTCATATAATCAAATTAAAAACAGTGTTTAATACATTTAATTTAAAGGTTTCAGTTGGTTTTATCAAAAAGTTCATCAAACAATCACAAAATATTTTAACCTACCTATTATTGCGTTTTGAAATAAGTAAAGGTTCTAACTAACCAATGAAAGAAATGCAGGAGATTGATTAACGTTTATTTCATTTATTTTTAATGTATATTTCATGTATTGTAACTCTTAAGTTCCGTATCTTCAAGGGAAGATGTAGTTCTGAAAAAAATCAACAAAAATAGCGTAAGTAAATTTTCGTAAATTTTTATATTTTATTTACCTCAGGATCGACGTCATGCGAACATTTCGACGACTTCCACGCCATTTCCACGAAATCTTTTTCTTCTAAAGACGGCAGGAAATAAACAAAACTCTTCATCTAACGATCATTATTTAGAGATAAAGCATGACTTACCGGTTAGGCGGATTTTTTCAGCGCAATTCGCGTAAATATGCGCCACTTTTCCTTTCAAATGAGGCGGTTCCAGCGACTTCAGTTTCTCCAAGTTGCTGTGAAGCGACGTATTGGCCTAGAGAAATTATTCATTTACATTCCTCATTTGCATCGTCCCCGTTTTTGAGCAATTAATATTAATTACGTCAAATTCGATCGATTTATGACAAAAAAAGTGTATTATAAATTACTTACGACTTGCAAATGCAACCACAAACAGGCATTGTAGCGCTGAAAACGCAAAATATGGTTAATAATCGGAATAAGTGGGCTTTTAAACCGTTTACTTTAATGTTAATACCGCCGTTGAAATCTCCCTTTCTGGTTTGCAGGATTTCTTCTTCGGTGGCGCCCGAAATAACCTTGCATTCCTGGTGCACTACGGCCGCAGCTTGCGATAAAGCCGGTCCGTAATCCTGCGAATGGGAATACGATTAACGTTTTCCGCTAATTTATTATTTAGTAATTAGTACAGACCTTGGGGTCTACGTAGCAGTAAGATGCTACAATTAAGGCGGTCAGTGGCATGAGATATTTAGCCATTTTTATGAAGTAGCCGAATTTGAATACGCTGAAAAAAAGGAACACGGTGTTAAAAAACCTATTAAATTTAATTAGAAAATTAATGGTGATTTAATCAAACAAAAAAAATAGGTCGTTTTAATCACGTTATTAATTGAATAAATTCGAGAGATAGGCAAATATTTGAAAAAACAATAATTGTGTATATAAAGAGTGTAAAAATTTCGGGCAGCATAATAAATTAGACTTACCTGCAGCAGTAAGTATCTGCTTTCAATATACTACTATATTAATTTTAAATTATCATTTACTTTATATTCGAAATATCTCGTTGTGTTAATTATTTTTTCAATTTATTTGAACTAATTACGTCGACTTGAAGACGATAACCATTGTTTAATTATTGAACAACATAATTATTAATATTGATAATTAATGAGACGCATAAGAATGTAGGTAGGTATATTTTTCAAAATACATATACACTCTGTTATAACATATTTTGAATTTTTAGATAACAATAAATAATAATTCGGATTAAAACAATTTTATATTAAAAAAAAAAACCGTAAATGCTATTAAAAAACAGTATGATTGCGTTTGATAATATAATTGTAGTGCCGCAATAATTTCATGTCATATTATGGAAACATGAAATGCTAAAACAAATTAAATTTTAAATGCAACGAGACAATTAATTAAATAAATAATTATTACCTCCGGGTCCTTATTGTAGTAACATATTTCAGCGTTTACTAATTTCTGCAGGTAATCTGGTTCGGCTGAAATTAAAATAAAATATTTTGCATTCCGGCACAACGGATTAATTTACATTTTATTGACAACATATTTGATTATACAGGGTGTTTCATTGGGAAAGGGCAATATTTTAACCCTGTATAGAGGTCACCCAGGGGATTACAAAAAACCCATATACTATGGGTCTTACGCCCTTTATAACCGAGTTACAGGGTGTTTTTTGAATTTGGCCCATTTCTTTCGACACCTATAGCTTTTGAATCACTCAGTATATTTTTTTGATATTTGGCATAGATATTCTATACCTTTAGGACAATTTATTGCCACATTAAAAAATTACAAAATCCAGGTCCGGATTTAGAAAAATTAATAAAATTTGACCGACCCTAAAACAACACCCTATACATCATATTTTTAAAAATTTAATTTCAAATTCAGAAAGAGCATAAAAAACTGAATGTATTCATCAACTTTTTATTTTCCCGCATGCCATTTTTCTACCAAAATTTAAACGTTAAAATGACCTTATGAGATTTTTGGTCCATGTAAATTGTAATTGAAGGGATTTTAATTATTTTTTCTTTAATAAAACCAGATTTACTTAACACTTTCATGAAAATTCTTGAAATACACCTATTGAACTTGAATTAACATTCACATAAACCAATAAAAATTACAATTACAGATCCGCACTTAATAAAATTAAAATGATTTCAATTCATTTAATAATTATTCATTGATTAATCAATGTTTACATTTCTACGTGAGAAAATTCAAAACTTAACTATGTAATTTATTAGCTTCTTTACAAAAGATACTAAAAGTACTCTTTTTAACACCACTAAGAGATAGAACACATTTACCTAGTAAGCACTTTTAAAGAATTAAAAAACAATCCCAATGTTCTTAGAAGATTTATTTGCAACATGATTAGGAGAGCAAGATTATGTATCAAACAAAATGGAGAACATTTTGAGCAATTGTTAAAATGACTTTTTTTCTGGTGTTTTTTTGTTGTTAGTTTGTTAGTTATCATTTTGTTATTTATAATTAGCATTAAATTAGTAGATATTAATTATTTGGTTAAAAACCAAATTTCTTGTTCTTTTGGTTTTAGAGTTGTTTTTTGTTAATTTTTTTGTTTATTTTTCATATTATTTATTCAATATTCCATTTTGCCAGTTCGTGTGGATTAGGCCTATTGGTGATACCTCATTAGAAAAACGCGCCTTGTGTTCTACCTCTTGGTGGTGTGCAAAAGAATACTTATTCTAGTATCTTTTTTGAAAAATCTAGTAAATTACTTGGTTAAGTTTTGAATTTTCTCATGTAGAAATGTAATAATTAAATAATCAATGATTAATTATTAAATGAAATGAAATCATTTTAATTTTATTAAGTTCGGATCTGTATTTGTAATTTTTATTGGTTTATGTGAATGTTAATTCAAGTTCAATAGGTCTATTTCAAGAATTTTCATGAAAGTGTTAAGTAAATCTGGTTTTATTAAAGAAAAAATAATTAAAATCCCTTCAATTACAATTTACATGGACCAAAAATCTCATAATGTACCTTTTAACGTTTAAATTTTGGTAGAAAAACGGCATGCGGGAAAATAAAAAGTTGATGAATACATTCAGTTTTTTATGCTCTTTCTGAATTTGAAATTAAATTTTTAAAAATATGATGTATAGGGTGTTGTTTTAGGGTCGGTCAAATTTTATTAATTTTTCTAAATCCGGACCTGGATTTTGTAATTTTTTAATGTGGCAATAAATTGTCCTAAAGGTATTGAATATCTATGCCAAATATCAAAAAAATATACTGAGTGATTCAAAAGTTATAGGTGTCGAAAGAAATGGGCCAAATTCAAAAAACACCCTGTAACTCGGTTATAAAGGGCGCAAGACCCATAGTATATGGGTTTTTTGTAATCCCCTGGGTGACCTTTATACAGGGTTAAAATATTGCCCTTTCCCAATGAAACACCCTGTATATAGTTTGAATACAAAATTTGCCACTTACTAGATCGGTTCAATTCTTCCACACATTCCACCAAATATTTATGGAATTTTCCTTTCAGCTTAGGCGGTTCTAATGATATCAAAAAATCTGTGTTTGCATGTCCGGTACCATTCATCTTATAAACATTAATACAATTACAATTAACAGAGTTTTTGATAAATATAACCTGTACTTACCACACCAGAATGCAACCATATACAACCAATATATCGCTAAAAAATTACAGTAAATTAATAGACGATTATATTTAATTTCACAATTTAAAATAATTACTTTCATTTCAATACCAATGTTGAAATCACCATGTCTTACAGCGTCAATTTGCTGATCTGTAGCACCTGAAATTAGACCGCATTCAGCATGAAGATCTATCATCAGTTGTTTTAAAGCCGGAGAGATATCCTATTATGTTTAAAAATTTTAATAATTTGTTATGAAAAAGTTATTATGGAACATTACTTTCGGATCCATCACACTAAAAACTTGCACAACCAAAACTGAAAATAGTACCAATTTATTCATCGTGAATTGGCTTGGAAGTTTCATTTTAGGTAGGTCTACATACTTTTTCGGCGGGTACTTATAGGAAGTTTACTAATTACTTGAGTACCTATGTATCTCATTATTATGTAGGTATTTACATTAATGAGTACTCAAATAAAACTTAAAAACAAATAAAATAAATACTTAAAAGTAATAATAATTATTATTATTAATTTGTATACACTGTTAGAAATTTAATTTCGCATAATAGGGAAATCAATGTTAAATTCTTAGCCGGCTAAAATCCAGTCTACCAGTATACATTTCAATAGAACGTCGCGATGAATTCTAATAAATTTAATTGTTCTACTGGATCGCACGCCGCGATTTATAGAGGTACAAAGTTATTTGTGTTAGGTATGAGGTACAAA